TAGTGGAAGGTGTCCCTGCTGCTGGCAGGGGGGTTGGAACTGGATGAGCTTTGAGATCCCTTCAAACCCAAACCAGTCTGGGATTCTGTGATTCTCTGAATTCATCCCACCCTCCCCAAAACCACGACATGGCAAAGCCACAGCGAGGAAGGGCAGGGGGTAGCTCTGGGTACGTGTTGTCTGTTCACCACCCAAGAATGGGGTGACAGGGTAACCCCAAGTGCCCCACCCTGTGCTCACCCAGCTCTCCACCACTGAGAGAAAAGTCCTTCTCCAGAAGGACCCACTTCTGGACTTTCTGAGCATTTGAGACAGCTCCCTCGTTGACGGCTGAAATTCCCTTCTGGATAGCTGCGTACACAGCCTTGTCCTTGCTGCTGATGATTTCAGAGACTTTTGTAGCCTTGCTGCCCAGTTTTTGACAATATTCAGCAGCTTCTGGTGTGAGATCATCTTCTGGCTCGCCGGTTTCTGCAGCTACATTGCACTGCAAGACAAGTCAGAACAGGTAACTGGATATTGCCAAACGCTTCATTCCCTTCACGCTAACGAGCTTTACAGCCACAGGAGCCGCCCGATCTCCTTCCCCATCCCAGTGCCAACTGGCCAATTAACCAGCCACTGCAATTTTCATACACCTGATAGAAACCACGGCTTCAAATGAAAACTCCTTGAGGCAAAACGCAGATGAAACCCCTCCAGATCTCCACACACTCAAGAGTTGTGTCAATACCAAGGAGCAAGCTGGGCACAGAGCTCATCTTCCAAATTCCTCCCGTGCCCTGCATCCCATAGCAGCGCACCAGGCTGCTGGAAGTCGATGCATGTGGCACCACAAGTGCAGCACCACCACCTCCAGAGCCTGGCTCAGTGTCCCTCACACACCAGCGAGGAGGTTGGCAGTCAGCCTCACTAACGAGCAACTACCACTGAAAAGCCACCAGCCTGCAGGGTCTCCAGCCAGAGGTCAGTGCAGGCCACCACAGATGTGGCACTGTGGAGTTTGAAGCCGGCAGCTTAAAAAGAAACCACTGAGAGCTCGTTACTGGCCAAGCTGCTCTGGGAGATACTGAACACGGGTAAGAAAAGCAGAAGAGGTTTTTTTTTCCAGTCTCACTTTTAGGTCTTTTACTTCTGTTTCTTTCTGCCCTGCATGGTACAGAGAGGAGCAGCTGCCCTGAACAGAAGAACCTGAGGGTCTGATCAAGTGGCAACGCTCATTTTTCTGTACAGTTACAACTGCTTCCAGCTCAGCTACAATCAGTTGTGCTCCACGATGCCTCCTGGCTCTAGAAGACACTGTAAAAATTCCTCACTGGAATTATCATGGAATCACAGACTGGTTTGGGTTGGAAGGGACCTTAAAGCTCATCCAGTCCCAACCCCCCTGCCAGCAGCAGGGACACCTTCCACTAGACCACGTTGCTCAAAGCCTCATCCAACCTGGCCGAGAACACTTCCAGGGAGGAGCAGCCACAGCTTCTCTGGACAACCTGGGACACTGTCTCACCACCCTCACAGCCAACAATTTCTTCCTCACATCTCAGCTCCATCTCCCCTCTGCCAGTTTCAAGCCATCACCCCTTGTTCTGTCACTCCCTGCCCTTGGCCAAAGTCCCTCCCCAGCTTTCCTGTAGGTCCCACGCATCAAATGTGGTCAGCAACGTGGGTGGATTCCCACCCTGGTTTCCGTTACCTTGAGCGTTAGAAGCATAGCGAGGAACTTGGCTTTGTCTCCAACCAACATGGCATTGCTGATGATGGGAACAGCATCTTTGACAGCATCCTCAATTGGAACAGGAGGAATGTTCTCACCTCCTGCAGTGATGATGAGCTCTGGAAAACAGTCAAATCTTGATTAATGCTTAGAGCCTTTCCCCCTTCCTTCACAATCTGAAATAACTCGACAGCTCCTTCATGTCTACAGGATCAAAGAGTGAGTGTCTGTGTCCCAACAGCCAGAGAAGGAAGCAAACCAGGAGGACCCCAGTCAGGCTGGGAGAGGTGAGACTGAGGTGTGCTCACAAACAGCATCGCAAAAGCTGCTTTGCTGCTCCAGAGATGTTTGCAGTTGGGGCACATGGGGTGTGGTGTACGAGCACCTGGTGTAAGTTGGTACCCAAGTTGTTCAGGAACTGAGGTACATAATTTGCTGAGGCAAAGCAGTTTTGGAAGCTCCACAGTGTGATACAGAGCAGGGACAGCCTGACTTTCTTAGCCATCTTTTATCAATTTCTTAAAGCAGCCCCTTTGCATCATCATTTATCTTCTTATAAGATTATTTATCTTGTATTTATCTATTCTTGATGATTGAAGTCTTGCAAGAAATTAGGATTTGTTTGGGGTTGGTCAAAGCAGTGTCCCAAGACCCGTGTTGCTGCAAGACATTTTCCCAACAGTGCTGAGCTGTTGTTTTCTCTCAGAGGCTCAGTAGCAAACTAGTGAAACTGGAGAGACCTGGACAGGTCTGGCACCGTAAAACAAGCCAACAAAGCGCTAACTACTGCTTTGAAATCAGAGGATTTCATCCCTGTTCTGCAAACACACAGTGATTTCAGAGGTTACCCCTCTCCTCCCATCACACACCGTGTCACAGGCTGAGCAGCAGGACACAAAGCAGCCACGGTCATATGAAAACACTCAGGAGAAGTGTTTAAATCTTCCTCTGTGTGAGGCACAACCACGTAACTATCAGTGTGAACACACGTTGTGTCGTAGCGCTGAGGAACCTCAAGACAACAAAGGGAGAGGACACGTTACCTTTAATTCTGCCAGTGATGTAGAGGAATCCATCTTTATCGTGCTTGCCAAGGTCACCCGAATGCAGCCAGCCACATTCATCAATGGCCTCTTTGGTTTTTTCTTCCATGTTCAAGTAGCCCATGAAGATGTGTCTTCCTGAGAAGCAGATCTCCCCGATGCCATCTCCATCTGGCTTATGAATCAGTGTCCGGCAGCCTGTGACTTCCTTTCCGCAGCTTAAAGAGAACACAAACACAAACACAAACACAAACCCATGGCATTATTATTATTATTATTATTTTTAATTCAATAGCAGAGCAGCAGAGTGGGATTCCAGCAGTGCCCCCTCAAGCTGAAGTGTTTGGACAAAACCAGGCAGCTTTTTGTTACAACTGCTTCAGCGAGGAACTCAGGAACTTAAAAGGCGTCTGCTGATGTAAGGGGAACTACAGAAAAAGTTGTTATGGCAGAGAGATGAGTGCTCACACACCTGGGGTTTTCCACCCATTGTTCTCAAACACCTGAGCTCTGAATGAGAAGATTTATGTTGCTGGCAGCAAACTTTTACTGCTGGTGGTATTTACTCTGCAGACTGAACCCACAGGGACTGAACGAGCCATTCAAAGCATCAGCACAGTCCTACTGAGTTTATTCATCTGCTGTTCAAGTGACCTGTGGGCTAGAGTTACCCATTCTTCCTTTTTCCCATCAATCCCTGGCTTCCTCCTCAGCTCCTAAAGGATCCAGGCTGAGTTACAGAATCCCAGAGTGGTGGGGTTGGAAGGGACCTCAGGAGATCATCCAGTCCAACCCCCCTGCCAAAGCAGGTCCATCTCCAGTTGCACAGGAAAGTGTCCAGGTGGGTTTGAACATCTCCAGAGATGGAGACTCCACACCCTCTCTGGGCAGCCTGTCCCAGGGCTCCGGCACCCTCACAGGAAAGGAGTTTTTCCTTAAGTTTGTCTGGAACTCCCAGTGTCCCAGTTTGTGCCCATTGCCCCTTGTCCTGTCACTGGGCACCACCGAGAAGAGCCCGGCCCCACCCATTGACCCCACACTTCAGATATTTATAGACATTGATCAGATCCCCTCTCAGGCTGCTCTTCTCCAGGCTGGACAGTCCCAGCTCTCTCACCCTCTCCTCGTAAGGCAGTTAAATTTAAGAGTTAAATTTAAGTCACACAGCTGTTGCCCTTGGCAGAGCTCTTCATCTGCAAGATGTGGCCAAAGGAACTGGTTCCTGAGTGACTTTTTCCTGGCAACAAATCTCTGGGGATGAGCAGCATCAGGTGAGATGGACAATGCCAGAGGCAGGAGAAACCTCAAAGCAGCTCTTCCTCCCAGGCAGCAGAGGATATTTACCTGGTGAGCTTGAACGCATGAGGTAGAGAGATGGTGTGAGGCCCAGAGCTCTCGCTCATGCCGTACATCTCCAACACGGGGATGTTCAGACTTAAGAAGAATTCCAGTGTCTCTCTGGTAATGGGAGCAGCCCCCGTGTAGCACTTTGTGCACCGCTCCAGCCCGATGGCCTTTCGCACTTTCTTGTACACCAAGTGCCTGGCTAAGCGGAAATTCACCGGGACTTCTGAATATCTGTAGGAAAAAAACCCAACAAAAACCAGTTACAAGATCTCAGTCACCAGTAGAACTTCTACCTCCTTTCATCTTTCTCCTGTTTTTGAGTTTATTCAGTAAAAAAATTAATTACTTCCCCCTCCAGCCCTCACTGCTCACCCTCTGCTCCAACTTCTTTGGAGTTGAGGCTCCAAAAGCCTCCAAGGCTTTTGTCTTCTTGATATCTTTTGTCTTCTTTTTGTCTTTTTGGTCAGAAGACATTTGGCTTTCACTGTCCATGAGTCTGGCCTGTCACTCAGGATGTAATTCCTGAGGTGACAGTAAAGTTCTTCTAATATTTGTGACATGCCTTAAGTGGTGTTTGTAATTACCCATTCATCCGCTTCAGGTTTGTCTGCAGCCCAATGCCCTTGGCCCACGATGCCACTTTTCTTCTGAGGGCTGATGATTTTGCACCTATAGATTTCATTTTTTCTTCCATTTTTTCCCAGACACGAGGAACTGCCAGAAAAGCAGTTGGTTTCACTTCCCGCAGGGTGTCCACCAAACTGCCCTGTGCAAAACAGAATTTAATACAGATTTCAGAAGTGCCTCATTATAGACTTCAGGTCAGGACTGGTCACTAGAGGAGGCTTAGGACTCTTGACATCAATTCTGATGAATTGTTTATTTTTAACTGCAGTGCCACCAAGAGAAAGGAACCCCAGGAGCATTCAGATGCCACGGTGGTTTTGGGAAGACAGGAAGGGTCGATGCTTTCAGTGCCAACGCTGACACAGCGCCGAGAGAACAATCGTTCTCAGGACAGAGATTTCATAGAGTCAGAGAATCACAGAGTGGTTTGGGTGGGAAGGGACCATAAAGATCATCCAGTCCCAACCCCCCTGCCAGCAGCAGGGACACCTTCCACTAGACCAGGTTGCTCAAAGCCTCATCCAACCTGGCCGAGAACACTTCCAGGGAGGAGCAGCCACAGCTTCTCTGGCCAACCTGTTCCAGTGTCTGACCACCCTCACAGCCAAGAATATCTTCCTAATATCTCATCTAACCCTCCCCTCTTTCACCTTAAACCCATTTCCCCTTGTTTTGTCATTAGTTGCCCTTATGAAAAGTCCCTCCCCAGCCTTCCTGGAGCCCCTTCAGGTACTGGGAGGCCACTAGAAGATCTCCCCGGAGCCTTCTCTTCTCCAGGCTGAACAGCCCCAACTCTCTCAGCCTGTCCTCACAGCAGAGCTGCTCCAGCCCTCGCATCATCCTGGTGGCCTCCTCTGGACTCGTTCTAACTGCTCCAGGTCTCTCCTGTGTTGGGGGCTCCAGAACTGGATGCAGTACTCCAGGTGGGGCCTTACGAGAAGGATTTAATGGTGGTGGGCATGTTGCAATGTGGAACAGAGCAAATACAAAGCCATTGCTCAACCAAGTTGTTGGGGCAGAGAACTGGTGTCAGGTGAGATATCAAGAAGGTCTTAGTTGTGAAGTGCTTGGTCAGCTCAAAAGGCAAAGGTCAGAGTGGTTGTATTTATCAAACCAACAGACCCTTAAACAGGAGCAGGGGGTCACTACACAAATAACCCGAGTGAGTGCAGCTTTCAGAACCAGGAGGTAAGTCAGCCCTGTGTTTTAAAGCACCCACCCCAGCTACAAGCAGGTGGAAGGGTGTAGGAATTTTATTCTCTGGGTGTTTTTACCTTTAGTGCATTGGGTTGAGCAAAGAAAACTTGGACACCATATGTCATTGCCAACCAAATATCCGACATCTGTGCAGCGATGTGACTGAGGGGCAGGTAGCTGACCACCTCCTCCTGCTTTTCTTGAGCATCTGTCAGAGTTAGGAAACGTCCCGCCGCCGACGCCGTCCACGTCAACTGGAACAAGAACCCACATGGGTATTGAGTGACGGATCTTCCGAGCAGACACAGAGCTCAAGTCTACGATATCCTGTGATCTTAACACCAGTCACGTCTTCCAGCTGATCTCCACCCTCCCTCAGCACACAGAATCACAGAATGTTGGGGATTG